GTTTTCTCAACTTTTTGTTGGCATATTGAGGACCACTGGAGCTGTTCCATCAATTTTATGCACTGGTAACTCGCCATTATTGTGTCTTTTACATATTTGCTTGTGCCAACGGAGGTCAACCATTCTTCGCCGAGTGTGTGTTTTAGAGGCATATTTGCGTAATAAATTTCTCTCGGCCCCCAACACTGTCCTCATACCTTTGAATTCCTTGAATATATCACGGTTTATGACTATATAACTGACTTGTCGGCCGTAATCGCATGCTTTCATTTGTCGATGTACGTAACGAGACTATACTTTGCTATCCACTTCCCGTTCAGGCTTCTGGATGAACTTATAACTTATACCCATCATCATCATTTGTTTAAAACTCGCCTTTATCTTATTACATTCAAGGAGCACTCCTTAGCAATAGATATCGATTCGAATCAGTGGCATCATAGTCTTATGTGCTTGTCGTTTGGACTCGAAGATAGCTGCTCCAGGTTTTACGGATGTTCGACATGTCTGGCAGTCCTGTTTAAGCATCGTTCCCATCACTGTCCTGGGTATTACCTAGGCGGTTTTCCTAAAAACGACTTCTGATATCAGTCAAGTTGAGCACATTCTCGTCAACGGTAGGTTTCTTGGTTCATTGTAAAATAACAGGTCTGTACTTGAGATCAAGCTCAGTAATGCATTTCTGTCAGATCATTTTCGTAATTTCACACGCTCTGCTAAACTCTTGATCGCTTTCAAAAATCCTAATGCCACACGTGTGTGTTAAATTAACTCATTTCAACTAAAGTCCTTAAAGGCGCATTCCTTTGTAAGCTTCTACCGCAGACCAAACGTGTCAGCGAATAGTCACCGTTTAAGTCACTTGTCCATGGAACAGTCGCCAGAACTCAGGCGTATTCACCGCAACTGCTGAATCGGTTCATGAGCCCTACTAGAGTTTGATTCTCAGATGCTGATCCCTTCCCCCAGCATTGGTAATTGATGGCTGTATCGACTGTGACAGGTAATATCACGTCCATGCGATGATCCAGCAAATTATTGCAGATTACCATGAACCCTAACTTCGTCCACCTTGTCATTGATAACTTGACCAAGACTGACTTCTAGCGTGAACAGTTCTCGTCTACTCATAATTCTAATGACTAGCGGTGTTTCATGCTTCAATAAATTGCCGAAAGATTTTACCTACCTATAAAAACATATGTGCAATATTGGAGTTGCGTTACGATACACGGAAACGATGACAAATCGGGTACTAACAATGATGATGACTTGAGTCTAATCTACATTTCTAAATTTATTTTGACGAGCGCGATTCCTAGGCCCCTCTTGCCTGCGTCATATAAAGACGAGCTACACTAAAGCCTTAGCCAGTGACATATATTTCGGAGCGTCCTAGCTTTTGGCAGTAGCTACCGCGAGCCCAGAGCCGTCGGCCTTTTCGATTTTCCCGCAACTTTTGGGGCGGCTCATCGCCAGTCTCTGTAGCACATAGGGGGGATAAACAATGCGAAGGCCGATATTCTTATTGTAAGTGAAGCCTATAAATGTCCTATTTACGACTTTTATTGATAACAAAGATTTTTCTCAACTGCTCGAATTCGGCCAAGAGGCAATCCTGTCCTTTTCTATATTCTATTTTACTACGTTATTGGGTTTTTGCTCTCTGAACTACAGCTATTTCTGTCTATTTGATGGCAGGCTTGGATTATTGCTTTTTCTAATCCCTGTTCTCGCCTAACCACGTTCTTTCCTCTTCTGGTTATGTTAGACTTGAGTAAACACCCTATGCATTTATATACTGCCAGGGCGTTAGCCAAGCTGCAGGCTACCTGGCGCGTCCACGGGTGGCGGATAGTGG